TGTAATAATGATGCTACGACCGCTGCTAGGACCACCAGCCGTGAACTCTGCCGCTCGTCGATTCCTCCCACCCGTATCGAGGACTCGGTCGCTACCTGGCTGATTCATCTCCACCACCTCGCTGCAGGTCACAACAACACACCTCGCACACCCACACATTTGCACTCTCTACCACTCAAGTATTCACCCATTAATTCACTCACTCATCCACCCACCCGCTCACTCACCTACCCACCCATTCACTCATCCACCCACTCGCTCACTCACCTACCCACCCATTCACTCACCCACCCACCCACTCGCTCACTCACTCACCCACCCACTCGCCACACTGCAGGTCATCTCGGCTTTTTTCCCTCGCTCTGCTTCACTGTGGAATTCTCTCTCATCATCGTCGTCATTTCTTCTGCCAAAGTTCTTACAATTACGTCACCCCGGCGATTTCAGAGTGTCAACGTCGCCCCGCCGATGGTTAGCGAGCTGCCCTATGAACCCGGCGACCCGCATTTAATTCCGGCTTGCAGGCAATAACAGTGGCGGATATATCTTTGAACTGGTCCTGGGCTTCCCCTAGCTTGACTCGGAGTACCTGGTGCACTGTATGAACATCAGCACCGGGGAGACAAAGGCGGCCGGGCACGGTTTTGCCGTGCCGGCCTTCATAGGTGCCCGCTGCTTGCTGACAGCACGCCGCAACAGTCTGTTCCGTATGTTCGTACGTTCGCACGCTTGCATGTTTGTGTGCGCGTGTTGTTATTGGTGGTGGTGGTAGTAGCAGGAGCAGCAGCAGCAGTGTGTGGGGGAGGGGGCGGCACATATGGTGTTCGTTAGCCCGAGCCTCCTGCTGCTGCTGCTGCTGCCGCCGTGCCTCGCGATTGGCGGCGGCTGCAGTGGCGGTGGCGGCGGCGGCGCTCCTCGTGTTGGTGTTTGGCGGCGGCGGCGGTGATGGTGGGGGTTGGGCGGTGGCCGCCCTGCTCTCCATAATAATGGCCCCGGGGCAGCGCGCAGCGGCCCCCAGCCCGGCAGGACGCTGGGAATCCTAAAACGTGCACGCACACGCACGCACGCACACGCACGCACACGCACGCCAAGACAAAGATTCTACCCCTCCCACCCCATATCCACCCCTCCCGCCCCTACAGCCTTTAACAGACTGTTTGTGGTGGGGGGGGCGCGGAGGGCCCAGTACCGTTAGCGAGACGGGCACGCAGAGGGACGGGAGTGAAGGGACGCGGGGAGAGTGATGGATGTGCGTAGAGAGGCTCGTGCAGACGCCCTAATAGAGAGCGTGTGAGACTCGCACAAAGAATCACCCGCGTCGCCTCTGATAGACTGTTGGGGCGAGCGCCTTCGGTGAGCACCTTTGAAGGCCGCCACGGTACGCGAGGGGGTTGGTGTGGCCTGCACCACGCCCGGCTGCGTGGTTTTTTTTTTTGTTACGCGCGCTGTACCAGGCTCTTAATTTATTGCCGAGTCGACCTAAGGGAGGCCCAGGCCCTGTTCGGTTAAGCGTCGCCCATGTTGGCCGTGAGCAGGAATCCAACTCTCGTCGCCTGGTGTCTTAGTGCACAGCGCATTAACCACCGCCAAAACGCGCACTCACAAACGCGCGCACACAAACGCGCGCACACGCAGACGGACGCGTTAAACCGCGGTTCTCTTAAGATGGCGACGTGGCCATTGTGGACCCCCCGTGGGGGTCCAGGCATCGGCACGGGGCCCGCGGCGGAGGCGGAGGGGCGGGGACGGGTTTTTATTTTTTCTAATCTTTTGAGTTTTCCATATTGCATTTTTAGTATTTTAATTAGAATGTCAAATATATTTTTATTTTTCTCACGGCCGCACAGGAACCGTTGTTGTGACGCTGCCCCGTTGTCAAGGGATGGAAGGAATTTCCGTTCGGAACTGCTGCGGGGAAGCACAGCGTCGCCGCGTTGCCCGGAAGATGATGTCATAGGATTACTTCTCTCGGTCATCTCCAGCGACTCGTCTCGTGTATACGTCCCCGCTGCTTCACGCACGCACAAGAGATAAAGATCCCCCGTGTAGCCTTTAAGCGGACTATTTGGGGCAAGTGCTTTTAGCGAGCGCCTAATGGAGACCGGTCGCCTTTGTGTCCCCCAATGCTGATGTTTACACACCCGCACCAGGTACTCATTTGAGGCCGAGTCGACCTAGGTGAGGCCCAGGGGCTGGTTCAGATAATCGTCACTGGTGTTGGCCGTGAAACGGGAATCGAACACACGCGTGCACGTGACGTGCACACACGTGTGCACGCGCACACACGCGACATGGACCAAGCACACACACATGAAGTGTGCACACGCGCACATGTGCGCACACACGTACGCCTCCGGTAAACATTGGCGTGCTGGCAGCCGCGCTGCCCTACACGTGGCTGCCTGTGACTCGGCGCTTTGGAGGCAGCAGCAGCAGCAGCGAGGGTTGGTGGATCGCACACACATCCACACACGGTCGTGAAACTCCCGACCCGTAGGCGTCACTCCCGGCTTGTGGCCAGGCTTTTTTGGCAGTACAGCAGCAAGCGGGTTGATTTACCTCCCCACTCTCGTGCTCGTGGCTTTTCGTCCACGCGTCATTAGTCCGTGCCCGTCGCAAAGCTCGGGCTGGGAGAGCTCCCCCCACAAGCCGTTTTGCGTTCTGGCGCCTTGCGACGCTCCCTGGCACGTGGAGCGAAATGTCGGACGTTGTGCCGAGCGAGAGGCACGCGGCAGGGCCCGGACGGGTTAAACAAAAAAAAAACGTGGGAAATTTCCGGCCGGTTGTTTTTTGTGCGGACATCGGGCTCACTGTGCTCAAGAACCCTGGGCTCCTGAGATCCTGGACCGAAACCCCCCCCCCCTACTCCCGGTATCAGCAGTGCCGCTGTCTGAACCCCCGTGAGCGTGAGGACACCGCAGGTCCAGATGTCGAACTCAGCGTCTCGGCGGTACTGGCGCAGTGTCTCTGAAACGGCCATTTATGAGCGCCGCGCGAGGCAGTCGGGCCCAGGCCTTGAGGGCGCCATTGGAGTCGAGTCACAGCCAGTTCCTTTAAGTCGCAATGATGTGGAGGCTGTGGGAGCTCGGGGGGGGGGGGGGGGGTGCGGGAGGACGGGTTTTCTTTCTGCTCGGGCTTTTGTTCGCAGCGAGGAATCTGCGTGGAAGATGCTTAATCTCCGGCTGCGCTGCGAGCCTGCATGGTAATCACATTAGGCCAGGAAGGCAGCACCCGTGGCCTGCTACCCAACCCGCTCAACCCCCCCCTGCCCCCGCCGTCTCCCCCCCCCCCTCGTCACGGCTTAAAGTTACAGATTATAATGATCATAATCGGAGCGATCGTTCCATTTACAGGAGCTCGACTCATTGGTCGGTAACGCTGGGGCGTTAATAAGGGGGGCGGTGGGAGGGGGGATCGATGTATAGTGTGTCTCTCCCGAGTGTCCCAGGAGGTTTACAATGGACTTATCGGAGACGCACAGCCAGCACCATTGAAATGCCGGAGTGGAATCTTGCGTCTGAGCCGCCGCCGATGAGTCAGTGGTCTCAGCCCGGTCACGAGTGGCTTGTGCCACAGAAACGAAAAAAAACAGCACCCGGAGTATTGAGTTCTCGCTTAATAGCGTTGGCTAAACTCCACCCCTGATGATGACAAACATCGCGATGACTAACATGCGACAAGCGTTCACTCTCGCCGTCGGTCTCGCGCCGCGTGTGTGCGCGTGCCTTTGTCTCCGACGCGCTTTGTTCCCGCGTGTCTCTCGGACGACTTGCAGGAAACCTGTTTTGCCCGTTGGTTGGTGACCTGGGGGGTGGTTGGGAGGGGGATATATTTAAGTCGCACATTTACAGAAAAATGGAATCTATGCTCGGAATGTGGTGACGTGGCTCGGAATGCGGCGGTTGCGAACGAGCGCTCGATAACACTTCCGTTCCCTGCCGCTGCTGCCCCTGCCGCCCGCCAATCGCGTGTTTTCAGGGATCCACAAATTGGGGTTTTGGGAGCGGGTCTGCTGCTTTGCCGCGCACACAGAGACTCCTTCCCGCGTGACCTTTAACCTTTGTGACCGGCCTGCCGATCGGTAGGGTCACGTGCGGTTGGGGTGAAGTGTGGGTACGCCGCCCCCCCACCTCTTCCAAAGCGCCTGACTAGCTTGGAAGATTTAGACCACAATACCTCTGGCAGAGCCCTCTCTCTCTTTCTCTCTCTTTCCTAGTGGAGGTCCTTCTGCCAGCAGTGGCTTGAGCATGGAACTGCAGGGCTGCGCTGTTACCTTTCTTTAAACCAAAAGACATGTGAACGCGACGTGCGACGTACAACGTGCGGTTTATTATTTGCTTATTTAAAAAAAAATCTTTCACCTGGGGAAGGCCGCTAGAGATGCAACAGCTGGCTTTCACGCCCGTCCGTGGGTTGTCGGCTGCTTAAAAAAAAAAATCCGGGTGTTGGGACCTGCGCCCAAGTTTTGAACGCTCGAGTTCAGTGCCTCACGAGCGTTTCTCTCCCGATGTTTTTAGGTCCGGCTGGGCTAAAAGGGGGCAGCCCACTGCAAGTGTCCTGCTCCTGCCACTACTTGGCGTAGGAGACCCCCCAAGTAGAGGGAGCTCTAGAGAGGGTATTTGGCCTACTCTTCCACGCTGTGCCGACGTGTTGTTGGACGAGGGCCCGCACTTTTCCCCACCGCACGCAACCTTGCCCGTCAAATTAACCGTGGACCCATTTAGATTGCTGCTGGGTGGACCGAGTCGGTGGGGTGGTGTGATGTGGATTCAAGAAACTTGCTCCATTGGGTTCCACGGGCATGCCGGGAGATGTAATGGAATCGGGCGGCCTCTGGATGGTTATCGTGATCTTTATTGTAGACTTGAGGAATCCGATGAGCTTATGAAGCTATTTGTCACAGGATTGCATAAACGTGGGACCACGGAAGTAAAGTCCAACCACTGATTTTTCTCGTATCATCACTCAAGCTAATTAACCTCCTTCCTTACCTTCCACAGAAAGAAAGGCCTGTTGAGGGGGGCCGTTGAAGGGGGGGGGGGAGCTCAAGGGGGTAGGGGGGGCCACGTACACATCGGAGCCGGCGTGACGCTGGCGACTCAACGGCGGCGCTCGCAGCACCCGCGGGATTCCGCGGCAACGACAGACATCCTCGGCGGCTGTAGGAGCAAGCGACCGGCGGAAATCCGTGGCAGCAGGAGCGCCGCAGTGGACCTTCCTCGCCCGGTTGCGGCGGACGGGACCGAGGACACGAGCGTGGCACGACCTGCCTCGCAGTGATAGAGCGCAGCTCCCGGGGTGACTCGACAGCTCGGCGATTCCCGTAGCGATACGGCCTTGCCGCGACCGTCGTCGGTTCCGCGACCCGCGCGGTTGACTCGGCGACCCCCGCGGTCGGCTCGGCCGTCGCTCCAGAGCGAGCGACGATGCAGCAGAGCGACCTGGACGAGAAGCTGAAGCGCTCGCTGCTCAAGGCGGCGGCGGGCGGCGGCGACCCGAGCCAGGTGCTGGCGGTGGTGACGGCCGCCGACGTGGCGCTGCACCACCTGCAGCAGCAGCAACAGCAGCAGCAACAGCAGCAGCAGCACCACCAGCACCTGCAGCACGCTCACCAGCACGCACAGCAGCAGCAGCAGCAGCACACGGCGGCAGCGCTCATGAGCATGGCCGGCACGGGCGCGGCGGCGGCAGCGCAGGCCGTGTTCCTGCCATCGCTGCTCGAGGTACGGCACGGCAGCAGCAGCTACGGCACGTGTCTCACCTCACACTTGGTGAGTCGGTGGGTGAGTGAGGCGGCGGGTTTGTGAGTGACTGAGTGAGGGGTTGGGCGGGCGGGCGAGTGAGCGGATGCTGGGAGGTTGGTTAGTCCCAGCGTGCCGGTTAGTCCCAACACTGCATGTCCTTTGATTGCCACGTGAGGAGTGGTGACGCAGCGATTAGCGCGCTGCCTGAAGAACCAAGAGACCCGGGTTTGAATCCCAGCCACGGCCCAAAGCAGCACAACCGGTCTGAGCCTCTTCCTCGGCCTTGGATGATACCCGGTGTGGAGTGTGTAAAGACGACATCGCTGGCAGGTCGTGGGTTCGATCCCGACCGCTGACGCGAATATTTTCTCCGGGTCCGCCGGTTTTCCCCTCCAAATTTAGAATCGACGTCACGCGTTTTGGCTATTTGGCTGCGATAAATTTGCACGCGATAAGCCACCTTTGTTGAGCTATCATTTGTGACGACCAGGTCTATTCTGAAAAAGAGCTACATAGCTCAGTGGGCCTTACCTGGTAAAAAAAAGTTTAGTTTAGTGTGCCAAAAAGCCTGTGTGGACTACCTGGGGGGGGGGGGTGTTTAAGTTGGCACAGGTGGGAGCACAGATGTTGGGTGCATATGCCAGTCATCTCAGTCAGTCAACCCACAACACCTGGCTCTGCTAGCGAGCCTTCTGCACCTCACACGATCGCCTCAAAGTGCCATGCATATGTGTGTGTGTGTGCGCGCATGTCTTCTATGTACATGGACTCTGCATATGGCGGTTTATGTTGTGTGTGTGTGTACACTCTGAATGTGTCATGCAGTGGTTCTTAACCTTTTACTGCAGTCTTTGCACCCCTTTGGTTCTCAATCGTAAAAAAATGTATAATGTTAATGAATACTCAGGTTTGATGAAACAAAGTAGTTGTATTCTTGGTTCTTTCGGTAAATTCATGTGACTTTACCGAAAGGACCACGAAAATGAATCCCTGCAGTCACGAAAGCTTTAAATCGAAGAAAAAAGTAGTTTTACTTGCGAGGCTTTTGATGATTTACCTTCTCAAAAAGAAATCTAGCCATGTTCGCACCCCCCAGAAAGGGCATTTCGCACCCCCAGGGGGTGCGTGCACACCCCAGGTTAAGAACCGCTGGTATGATGTAATCTTGTCGATGAACGTACGTGTAATTATCGTCTATGCGTGTGCCTGGCACGGGGGGCGCTGTGGTGACATCACAGCCACCTTGTGGCGCAGGGTGGTGGCTGTTGTTGTTGCTGTGCGTGTAATTTGCCCCAATACCCGGCTGGAGGCTAACTGGGGGATCTTTGTCTGTGTTGGACTTGATGTTCCCTGTGTGACTAGGTATGTACGCTACGTGCTTGTGCTGTGTATTCTATATAGGTGTGTGCACTCTGGGTGTGTGTACTCTGCGTGCGTGCATTATCTGTCCATGTAGTGCGTGTCAGTGTACTATGTCTACTCTACATGCGCTGTGTATTCTGTGTGTACTCTAATGTGTGTGCACCTCTCTACTCTCACTTTGTGTGTACTCTGCGTGCGTGCATTATCTGTCCATGTAGTGCGTGTCAGTGTACTATGTCTACTCTACATGCGCTCTGTACTCTGTGTGTACTCTCTACTCTCACTTTGTGTGTACTCTGCGCGCGTGCTCTGTAATTGACGTGTACTCTGCGTGTGCTCTCTGCGTGTGCGCGCCCGCCTGCCCAGCCCCTGCCGCTGCAGCTGCGCAAGGACGTGCTCCTGGGCGAGGGCGAGGCGCCGGTGTTCCGCACCGGCGTGAGCCGCGTCGCCGACGAGATGCTGGCTGCGGCCGCCGCTGCCGCCGCCGCCGCCACCTCCCGCGACGTTGCCATGTGCTTCACCGCCGGTACCGGTGCTGCCGCCCCCCCCCCACACACACACCCCCCACCGGCGTGGGTTTTCTCCGGGCTAATTGGGCCAGGTGGTGGCTCCGTGAGCTGCTCGACATCGGAAAGTTGGAAGTGAAAATTGTGGTTTGGGGAGGTTGATCCGGCCCCATTATCCCTTCCTCCAAGTTCGATGATGTGGCTATACCGCTTTGTGTGGGAAGTCAACAGAGGTTGTACTATGGGTGGACTCGCCCCGTCATAGGAACGTGGAATTTCCAGCACTGGCTCGGGGAGGTGAACGGGTGATGAGCACCAAATGCCTTAATGCTCATTCGAGCACAAAAATCCACTCTTGGCGTCAAGAAGACGTAAAACATGAGGAATGATTGTCATGCAACGGCATATTATTAACACGTGACTCCGGAAGTAGTTTTGTGAAGTCAACTTCCGCTGTCAGACACAGTTATCCACCGCTCGCTGGGAGAATTCCAAATTCAACTTTCAAAAACTAAATCTAAAATGCTGCCGAGGGTGAAGCGCACGTTTGCGAGTCGTGTAGCGTCTTCCGTGTGGTACGCGGGATAAAACAAATTTCCCGTCTTTGTTTCACCGTTTGTGCCGGTCCCCCCCCCCCCCCCACTACCTTCAGCCCCTACGTCGACCACCAGCTCCTTGCTGGGCGACGACAGCAAGGGGGGCGACAAGTCCCGGGAGGACTCGGCCCGGCACCACCAGCAGCAGCAGCACCAGGGCGGCCACTCGCACCACCCGGTGGCGCAACTTGGCTCCCACCTCAACCCCGCTCACCTTCACCACCACCAGCAGCACCACCAGCATCACCTGCAGCAGCAGCAACAGCAGCAGCAGCAACACCATCACCAGCAGCAGCAGCACCATCAGCAGCAGCAACAGCATCAGCAGCAGCAGCAACAGCAGCAAGCCTCGCCGCATCTGCCGCATCACCACCACGTGCACCACCACCACCACGGCGACGGCGCGGTGCTGCACCACCCGGGTGCCGGCGGGATGCACGGCCTGACGTACGCCACGAGCCGGGACCTGCGCGAGGCCTACGGAGACGCCTTCCCCTTCCTCGACATGAAGGTGCGGCCGTGCGGGGCCCTGGCGCCAACCCTCAACCCTCGCCCCACAACACCGGAGCTCCCGCTCTCCCTCGCGCTGACCCTGACCCCTAACACCTGACCCTTAACAACTAACCCGAACAGCAGAGGTCGCAAACGGATTTTGATTCCTTACCCGTACCAGGTCGCACCAGGGTCGCAAATGGGTACCCGTACCCGTACCCGGCTGGGTACGGGTACCCGTACCCTACCCGTACCCTACCCGAAATGAGTGACAAACGGTGACTCACCAGTGACTCACGGCCTACCCGTACCCCTACCCGGCCGCACCAGGGTCGCAAACGGGTACGGGTAGCCGGGTATCGGGTAGGGTACGGGTATCGGGTACCCGATTGCGACCTCTGCCGAACACTAACACCGACCCTAGCCCTAACCACACTTGAACTTGGTGTGGCTGGTCGATGATGGGCGGGTGTTGTGACGCGGTTTAGGTTAAGTTCCCTATTGTGCCCTCCCCTGGGGAGGGGGGGGTTGGGAGAGGCGGAACAGAACGCTCCCTACCTCCCCACCCCTCCCCCCACCCCTCGTTACTACCGGGTCATTCTATTCCCGAGCAAGGTCACTGCCAGAGAGCTCAGTCTCTTCGATGTCCGATCAGCCCTGGGAGGCTTTTGTAATTCTAGTATCTGACCCGCCGTCATCATTCCTGTTAAAGATTGCAGATGGCGAATAAGCAACTGGGTGGCTTGTGCTGGCTCGGAGTATGATACCTTGGTTCAATCCTTCCGACTGGATGTATCCGTCAAAGCATTGGAAATGGTCATGTCACGCGTGCTCTTGAAATGTTTTAATATTTCTCCATTGTTTAACAAGGAAGGGGGGTAGCTTGCTCATTTCCATCGATGGCCTTGACAGGCCCGTATGGAGTGGGCTTTGGTAGGACGCGTTGTGGCCGGAGCGATTGTGGCCGATGGTCAAGAATAACAACGGAGTGGCAGCCAAGCGTACGAGAGCACGTCCACCAGGGAGGGAGATCGAGCGATGAAATTGGCTCCTGTCGCATCGCAGGAACGTCAGGGATGTGGCGACATCTTGCGGATGGCGGGCGGGGCGGTCTTCATCCAGCAGTGGATTGATCGCGGCGGATGATTACGATGGTGACGATTGCCGTTGATGTGATATTCCCGTTGTCGTCTCTTCGGACCCGCAGCTTGCAATAAAGCAGGAGGCCGAGGCTGTCCCAGGCTGTGGAGACGGAGAGCTTCGGCAGCAGCAGCAGCAGCAGAACTTTGAGCAGCAGCAGCAGTCGGTGCCGAAGAAGAAGAAGGCGAAGCGCAAGCCCAGCGCCGCTACCAAGGTGAGCTGCACCCACGGTGACGTGGCCGGCGGGAGCCTGTCCTCCGATTGTCCATGCTGACGGCCGGAGCCCACCCTAACCAACCGGAGCCTAGGCTTAACCACACTCGCCAAGCCTCACCATAACCTCACTCGCCAAACCTCACCCTAGGCCTCACTATAGCCACACTAGCCAAGCCTAACCCTAGGCCTCACCATAACTCCACTGACCTAGCCGAACCCTAGGCCTCACCATAACCCCACTAGCCAAACCTAACCCTAGGCCTCACCATCACCCCACTAACCAAGCCTAACCCTAGGCCTCACCATAACCACACTAACCAAGCCTAGCCCTAGGCCTCACCATCACCCCACTAACCAAGCCTAACCCTAGGCCTCACCATCACCCCACTAACCAAGCCTAACCCTAGGCCTCACCATCACCCCACTAACCAAGCCTAACCCTAGGCCTCACCATAACCCCACTAACCAAGCCTCACCCTAGGCATCACCATAGCCACACTCGCCAAGCCTAACCCTAGGCCTCACCATAACACCACAAGCCAAGCCTAACCCTAGGCCGTGAACTCCCTCCCGCCCGTCTCCCCCCGTCGTCGCTTCCCACGCAGACGCTGGGCCTGGAGGCGGACGGCACGGCAGTGCTCACGCACCCGCGCCCGTACGCGTGCGACCGCTGCAGCGCGGCCTTCCGCACCAACTACCACCTGCAGAGGCACTTGCAGTCGCACACCGGTGAGCACAGTACGAGCCTCTTTTTTTATCCTTTTTACGTTTGCACGCACAATCCCCCCCCCCGCCCCTCCACCCCTCGCCCCCCCCCGCCCCTCCCCGACCCTCCCCCGCCACCCCCCACCACCCCCTCATCCGTCCCTCCACCGCCCCCACCACCCCACCCCCCCCACTTGCGCCCCCCCCCCCCCCTCCCCCAATCCACACGACGCGTGGCACGGAACTGACGCGACGCGGGCCGATGGCCGGGCTCGGTCGAAATCGACCTCGGGAGACGCAACCTCAAACAAAGGAGCAGAGCCGGGCGGCCCTTGAGGCGGCGTGGCGCCAACGAGGCCCCAATCGCCGTTCTTAAGGGTTCAGATTCGTCGCAAAGGGCGATCGCCAAGGTGGTCCGAATTATTTAAAAAATTACACGGCAACAACATCGCCCACCCCCACCACCTACTGCATAATCACAATAATGATAATACTCTAATAATCCATAATAGAGGTTTTGGGGTTAGTTTTCTGACTATAAATGTGTTCGTTAAACCCGCCACCACCCGACACAGCCAATTAGTAGGGTTTGTCACGTAAACAAAACATGCCAATTCATTATTCGATCAGCACACCGGTGTGTTGGAGTGCAAATCCTCAGCGTTTACAATTGGCGTTTCGCCAGCAATTCCAACCGGCATCATCAGGCGGGACAGCCAGATTAATCCTCCTGTGCGTTACCTTGAATGGGCAGACGACAGCGCCGGGGTGCTTTGTTCGGGGTTGCGTTCTCCCGCTGGCCGCCTGCGTGGTTGCGATTGCGGGAACGGCGACTCGGTTGTGGCGGGAAAGCCTCTGACGGACGGCGATGAGTTTGTGCGTGTTTCCCTGGACAGCCTCGCCGAGTCCTCAAGACGCCTTTTCAGGAGGGTCCCCTGCGCGCGGGAGCTTTCGCCGAAGCCGCGTTGGGAATTTTTGCTTTTTCGACTGACGACGGCCGCTCGGTATCGTCGCCCGCCGATTTCACGCTCGCACCACATCGCCCGCTCATCTCTCTCCTCCACATCACCCACTCCTCTCTCCCCTCCACATTGCCCGCTCCTCTCCCCCGTCCACATCACCCGCTCATCTCTCTCCTGCACATCACCCACTCCTCTCTCTCCTCCACATCACCCACTCCTCTCTCTCCTCCACATCACCCACTCCTCTCTCTCCTCCACATCACCCACTCCTCTCTCTCCTCCACATCACCCACTCCTCTCCCTCCTCCACATCACCCACTCCTCTCTCTCATCCACATCACCCACTCGTCTCTCTCCTCCACATCACCCACTCCTCTCTCTCCTCCACATCACCCACTCCTCTCTCTCCTCCACATCACCCACTCCTCTCTCTCCTCTACATCACCCACTCATCTCTCTCCTGCACATCACCCACTCCTCTCTCCCCTCCACATCACCCACTCCTCTCTCTCCTCCACATCACCCACTCCTCTCTCCCCTCCACATCACCCACTCCTCTCTCTCCTCTACATCACCCACTCCTCTCCTCCACATCACCCACTCCTCTCTCTCCTCCACATCACCCACTCCTCTCTCTCCTCCACATCACCCACTCCTCTCTCTCCTCCACATCACCCACTCCTCTCTCCCCCGTCCACATCACCCACTCCTCTCTCCCCTCCACATCACCCACTCCTCTCTCTCCTCCACATCACCCACTCCTCTCTCCCCTCCACATCACCCACTCCTCTCTCCCCTCCACATCACTCACTCCTCTCTCTCCTCCACATCACCCACTCCTCTCTCTCCTCCACATCACCCACTCCTCTCTCCCCCGTCCACATCACCCACTCCCCTCTCCCCTCCACATCACCCACTCCTCTCTCTCCTCCACATCACCCACTCCTCTCTCTCCTCCACATCACCCACTCCTCTCTCTCCTCCACATCACCCACTCCTCTCTCTCCTCCACATCACCCACTCCTCTCTCTCCTCTACATCACCCACTCCTCTCTCTCCTCCACATCACCCACTCCTCTCTCCCCTCCACATCACCCACTCCTCTCTCCCCTCCACATCACCCACTCCTCTCTCTCCTCCACATCACCCACTCCTCTCTCCCCCGTCCATGTCACCCACTCCTCCCTCTACTCCACATCACCCACTCCTCTCTCCCCTCCACATCACCCACTCCTCTCTCTCCTCCACATCACCCACTCCTCTCTCTCCTCCACATCACCCACTCCTCTCTCTCCTCCACATCACCCACTCCTCTCTCCCTCCACATCACCCACTCCTCTCTCTCCTCCACATCACCCACTCCTCTCTCTCCTCCACATCACCCACTCCTCTCCCTCCTCCACATCACCCACTCCTCTCTCTCATCCACATCACCCACTCTCTCTCCTGCACATCACCCACTCCTCTCTCCCCTCCACATCACCCACTCCTCTCTCTCCTCCACATCACCCACTCCTCTCTCTCCTCCACATCACCCACTCCTCTCTCCCCTCCACATCACCCACTCCTCTCTCCCCTCCACATCACCCACTCCTCTCTCTCCCCCACATCACCCACTCCTCTCTCTCCCCCACATCACCCACTCCTCTCTCTCCTCCACATCACCCACTCCTCTCTCTCCTCCACATCACCCGCTCCTCTCTCCCCTCCACATCACCCACTCCTCTCTCTCCTCCACATCACCCACTCCTCTCTCCCCCGTCCATGTCACCCACTCCTCCCTCTACTCCACATCACCCACTCCTCTCTCCCCTCCACATCACCCACTCCTCTCTCCCCTCCACATCACCCACTCCTCTCTCTCCTCCACATCACCCACTCCTCTCTCTCCTCCACATCACCCACTCCTCTCTCTCCTCCACATCACCCACTCCTCTCTCCCCTCCACATCACCCACTCCTCTCTCTCCTCCACATCACCCGCTCCTCTCCTCCACATCACCCACTCCTCTCTCTCCTCCACATCACCCACTCCTCTCTCCCCTCCACATCACCCACTCCTCTCTCCCCTCCACATCACCTACTCCTCTCTCCCCTCCACATCACCCACTCCTCTCTCTCCCCCACATCACCCACTCCTCTCTCTCCTCCACATCACCCACTCCTCTCTCCCCTCCACATCACCCACTCCTCTCTCCCCTCCACATCACCCGCTTCTCTCTCTCCCCCACATCACCCGCTCCTCTCTCTCCTCCACATCACCCGCTCCTCTCTCCCTCCACATCACCCACTCCTCTCCTCCACATCACCCCTCTCTCCCCTCCACATCACCCACTCCTCTCTCTCCCCCACATCACCCACTCCTCTCTCTCCTCCACATCACCCACTCCTCTCTCTCCTCCACATCACCCACTCCTCTCTCTCCTCCACATCACCCGCTCCTCTCTCCCCTCCACATCATCGTTATGATAACAACAGCGATTATGACGGTGATGACGACGATCTTCCTTGTCACCCCTGGCCCGGGTTGTGAACCCAAGCTGTGACCACAACAACAGCCGCCCAAGTTCACCGGGCTCTAGAGGGGAATGAATGGCGCACTACTCCTCTAACGCTGCCGTTTGGCGATTGGCGGCCGTCGAGAGCGGCGCACGCGCCTCCTGCTCCTCCTCCTGCTCCCCCTGCTCCTCCTCCTGTGATGTCACTCCCACCTGAGATGCTGCTCCCCCCCATCCCCCATCTGCCTCATTTCCCCCCCCCCCTCCCCGCTTCAGTTTGTTCCGCTCCTTGTCTCCCTCCTCACCTCGTCCTCCTCGTCCCCGTCATTATCGTCCCTGTCATCATCCCATCCTCACCCCGGCCTCCTCCTCACCCTCCTCCTCCTCACCCATTGCCGACGCTGCCGGTGGCCACCCGCGCTCCGAAACCCCGCGGGCAAACTCGCTGAGCGCTGCCGCGTGGAGCATTGTGGGTAGATGAGAATCCGGGCGCAACTCCGTGCGGTGTCGCCAGCCGTGGGTTCAATCGGCCTCTTGGCTCCGGACGAATATTGGAAATCCCGATTATGCTGATGAGACCCAGCCCCGAGTTTGCTTCCTCGTACAGATGCCGCTGGACGTTATTTATCCGGAAAGCCAATTGGCAAAAATGAACGTTATGTTTATACGTGGAGATGCAGCATGGGGCTCTGCTCGTATCCGCCTCGAGCATGTAGTCTGCGTAGCCTCGACAGAGCCCCACCTGCGATAACGACGGTCACCGTTGCCACGGTGTGAGCGTTGTCCTTGCTTGGCGATGTCTTCACGCGCTCCCCTCGTCCTCCCAAACGCCCGTGAGGTCGCGAGTCACGATGGGTGACGTGTCCCGATCGACCCTGCCGACGAAGCAAGCGGTTTATATATTCTTAGGTTTTTTCGGCAAAGTCACGTAGGTAAAAAATTAAAATTAATAAAAGTAAAATAAAATTAAAATTACGACGTTTCGGAGGCAACACAAGCAACACAAGCCTCCGTCTTCAGGTGGAACCGTCACAGCACGATAGCTATCGTGGCTTGTGTGGCCTCCGAAACGTCGTGATTTTATTTTTATTTTACTTTCATTGATTAAAAATTTTTACCTACGTGACTTTACCGAAAAAACCTAAGGGTATGAATCCTTGCAGTCACGAAAGCTTCAAATCTAGAACCAAGCTGTTTATCCCCGAGACTCGAGCGAGGCTTCCGCCTGCGTAGACGACGCTCTTTCACCGGCGGTAACAATCTCTACCGGCGTTCCGAAAGTCCCGGCCGTTCGCTAAAAAAGTTAACGCGCGAGCGGCGAGTCGCGCGACGAGGTCTGCGAAGCCATCCCGCGCGGTCCGCGAAGTTCACGTTGGATCCCATCCGGTTCGTCCCGCCGTTTGATTTTGGCCGACGGGCGACCGCGCGTGGCCTGCTGACGACGGGACCACCCAAAAGCGGCGAGCCCACATTTTTACAATGACAATTTGCCCTGCGTGCCCGTTCATCCGCGTACAGCGACGATCGGCCTGGGTCCGTCTGGCACCTCCGCTCTTCCACTACCGAGCGATGCGTCGTCAAAGACTCTGCCGTCAATCATCTGCAGCCTGCCCCCATCACCATTGGCCGTTCCCGATCGCCCATGCCTGCGCGCTTGTATGTTTACACGTTCGTGTGTGTGTTTGTGTGTGTACACGTGCGTGTTTGCTTGTGAGCGCGTGTGTACCCGTGCCTGTGTGTACGCGGGGGGAGCGGTGGCGCAGCGGTGAGCGCCGTGCGCTACGAACCCAGCGACCAGAGTTCGATTTCTGCTCACGGCCAACACAAGTGACGATTTATCTGAACCGGTCCTGGGCCTCCCCTAGGTCGATTTGGCCTCAAATGATTGCCTGGTGCAATGTATTAACATCGCCACTAGGAAGACAAAGGTGCTGGCCACACACCCCCTCATTCATAGCAGCCTTCATAGGTTCTTGCCAACAGCATTTGCACCAAACTTTTGTGAAGTCAATATTGTTATTTTGCCTTTGAAGCAGTATTCTTGGTTCTTTCGGTAAAGTCACGTAGAAGGGAAATAATAAAATAATACGAATATAAAACAATACAAATTCTCACGACGTTTCAACTGCAACACAAGCAATCATCATCAGGTGTGAAATCCACAGCAAGAAAATTTGAAAAAAGCTGTGGATTTCACACCTGATGATGATTGCTTGTGTTGCAGTTGAAGCATTGTGAGAATTTTTATTGTATTATATTTGTATTATTTTATTATTTCCCTTCTACTTGAATTGTACCGAAAGAACCAAGAATATGAATCCCTGCAGTCACGAAAGCTTTAAATCAAAATTTGAAGCAGTAGTTTAGTGTTTAGTGCACCATGCTACTAACCTGGAAACCCGCTCGCAGCCAACACCAATGGCAAATATCTGAAGCGGTCCTGGGCCTCCCCTAGGTTGACTCGGCCTTAAATGAGTAGTACCTGGTGCGGTGTGTGAACATCAGCATTGGCGAGATGATGTCAGCTAGACGCGGTCCTGGCCTTACCACCCAGGTGCCAGACTTCATAGGTGCTCGCAACAGAAGCTGTCCCAACAGTCTGCTAAAAGGCTTTAACGTGGCAACTTTGTCCTTGTATGATCATGTACCTGTTCGCACGTGGCTGTGCTTGTATCTATGCGTGTGTCCATGCGTGTGTCCATGCGTGTGTGTGTGTGCGCGTCTTGTGTACGCGCATGTGCGCGTGTGCGCGTGTGGTGGCACAGTAGGGTACTGCTGGTGCATCTACTAGTCATCTCAGTCAGCCAACCCATGGCAACTGGGTCTGTCCCGTGACCTCCTGTCAGCGAGCCTTCAACACTTGACGTGGCCTCAGAGTGCACCTGGCCTGGCACGGGCACCGTGATGACGTCACCGTCACTTTGTGGCGAATGGCGGGTATTGATGTGTAGTGGGGAGCGGTGGTGTAGCGGTTAGCGCGCTGCGCTACGAATCCGGCGACCCGAGTTCGATTCCTGCTCACGGCCAACACCAGTGACGATTATCCGAACCGGCCTTGGGCCTCCCCTAGGTCAACTCAGCTTCAAATGAGTACCTGGTTTGGTGTGTAAATTTTGCCACTCAGGAGACTGACGGCCGGGCATGGTGTTGGCCACCCACCCCCTCGTGCGCCGTATCGGCCTTCATAGGTGCTCGCTAACGGCACTTGCCCCGACAGTCTGTTGAAGCTATAGGGGGGATCTTTGTGTGTGCCTGTGTGTATGTGCGCCTGTGCGTGTGTGCGTACACGCGCCCCGCTAGCCACGATGCCGGCGGGGCGGTGTCTTTGCAGTAACCGTTGCTCTACCGCTGGTCTTTGTCCCCTGCCCTTTCCGACAGGTGAACGGCCGTACCAGTGTAGTACGTGTAGCATGAGTTTTGTTCAAAAGTACCTGCTCCAAAGACACGAGAAGATTCACAGTGGTAAATCTGAGAGCGCTCACCCTCCACACCCCCTCCACACCCACTCCCGCTCGCCTGCCCCCTCTCCCTCCGCTGCCTCTCCCTCCCACGCCCGCCTCTCCTCCCGCGTAGTCGAATTCACGCACGGCTGGCCGTGGGCGGACTGCGTGAGCCCCGTGTTCGCCTTCGCCCGCACCCCCGCTCCCCCCACCCCCCCACCAGCCACCCACACCAGGCAGCGTGGTTCTTCGTCCCAGGAGTAGTTCCGTAGTTCCGGCCCAGGGCCGCCACGAGGCGCCCCGCTGCGTACGGCACCGAGCGATTTGTTTATGCCCCGTCCTTGCGAGCGGCCTAGCCGTGCTAATCGGGCACCGGAGGTGGGGTGGAGGGGGGGGGGGTGATGGTTTCCGCTCGCTGCGTGTCTAGGTTTAGCGGAGGAGAGCCTGAGTTATGGTATGTTTTGGGGTAACGTTAAGTTGTTTTCCGTGTGCCGCCCCCCCCCCCAAAAGGCGTTTAAATAATTCTAGCCTTCGCCTTCCTCTTGCACTAACCATAACACTGGCACGAACTTGAACCGTGATCCTCAGCCTGACAGCGACCCTAGCTCTAGCATTGCCCTAACCACCAACGCCGACACCAATCCCTCAGCCTCGTCTCTATTGCGGCGACTCCCAGTCCTAACTCTCTGCGTCTCTGGTCCGCGTCTTTAACCTGCGTGGTGGTGGCCCGGGCATGGTTACTGCAAAGCGGTGGCGGTGGTTGCTGTGGTGGTGGTGATGGTGGTGGTGGTGATGGTGGTGGTGGTGATGAGGCTTGACTGTGCTGGCTGGCTGTGCTGTGCCGTGCTGTGCTGTCCTGTGCCGAACACCAAAGGTGAAACAGCAGGAAGGTCAAACTGCGGAGTGAGTAAAAACGCCCAGAGGTGGTGCTGAGTGAGAGGTAGGGTTTTGCTTGGGGGGGATATCTAAGACTGCTTAGGAGGGAAGCCATAATCCAACAGTGGATAGTTTATTACAGATGAGGATAATGGGTAATGCCAGGGGTCCGGTTGGCTTGTGTGGTTACGGGTTGCCGCAAAGACAGTATTTGGTTGGCTCGTTTGCTTACTGTAAGGGAGGGAGAGGGCTTAGGGGTTTGTGGGGTTATGCTCGTTGTAAGGCTGGTGTCCGTAAGGGTGTACGGATGGCGTCTATTTAGCTCGTGTGGTTAGGGGCAGGGAAAGTGTCATCACCTGGTGTGGTTAGGGGGGTGGGGACGGTGTCATTACCTGGTGTGGTTAGGGGGTGACATCACCTGGAGTGGTTAGGGGGGTGGGGACGGTGACATTACCTGGTGTGGTTAGGGGGTGACATCACCTGGAGTGGTTAGGGGGGTGGGGACGGTGACATCACCTGGTGTGGTTAGGGGGGGGGGGGTGGTGACATCACCTGGTGTGGTTAGGGGGGTGGGGGTGGTGACATCACCTGGAGTGGTTAGGGGGGTGGGGGTGGTGACATCACCTGGTGTGGTTAGGGGGGTGGGGACGGTGACATCACTTGGTGTGGTTAGGGGGGTGGGGACGGTGACATTACCTGGTGTAGTTAGGGGGTGACATCACCTGGAGTGGTTAGGGGGGTGGGGACGGTGACATCACCTGGAGTGGTTAGGGGGGTGGGGACGGTGACATCACCTGGTGTGGTTAGGGGGGTGGGGATGGTGACATCACCTGGTGTGGTTAGGGGGGTGGGGGCGGTGACATCACCTGGTGTGGTTAGGGGGGTGGGGGTGGTGACATCACCTGGTGTGGTTAGGGGGGTGGGGACGGTGACATCACCTGGTGTGGTTAGGGGGGTGGGGATGGTGACATTACCTGGTGTGGTTAGGGGGGTGGGGGCGGTGACATTACCTGGTGTGGTTAGGGGGGTGGGGACGGTGACATCACCTGGTGTGGTTAGGGGGGTGGGGATGGTGACATCACCTGGTGTGGTTAGGGGTGGAGACGGTGACATCACCTGGTGTGGTTAGGGGGGTGGGGACGGTGACATCACCTGGTGTGGTTAGGGGGGTGGGGGTGGTGACATCACCTGGTGTGGTTAGGGGGGTGGGGACGGTGACATCACCTGGTGTAGTTAGGGGGGTGGGGACGGTGACATCACCTGGTGTGGTTAGGGGTGGAGACGGTGACATCACCTGGTGTGGTTAGGGGGGTGGGGACGGTGACATCACCTGGTGTGGTTAGGGGTGGGGGTGGTGACATCACCTGGTGTGGTTAGGGGGGTGGGGGGGGTGACATCACCTGGTGTGGTTAGGGGGGTGGGGGGGGTGACATCACCTGGTGTGGTTAGGGGGGTGGGGGCGGTGACATCACCTGGTGTGGTTACGGGGGTGGGGGTGGTGTCATTACCTGGTGTGGTTAGGGGGGTGAGGACGGTGACATCACCTGGGGTGGTTAGGGGTGGGGATGGTGTCATTACCTGGTGTGGTTAGGGGTGGGGACGGTGACATCACCTGGTGTGGTTAGGGGGGTGGGGACGGTGACATCTCCTGGTGTGGTTAGGGGGGTGGGGGGGGTGACATCACCTGGAGTGGTTAGGGGGGTGGGGACGGTGACATTACCTGGTGTGGTTAGGGGGGTGGGGGTGGTGACATCACCTGGTGTGGTTAGGGGGGTGGGGGTGGTGACATCACCTGGTGTGGTGACATCACCTGGTGTGGTTAGGGGGGTGGGGGCGGTGACATCACCTGGTGTGGTTACGGGGGTGGGGGTGGTGTTATTACCTGGTGTGGTTAGGGGGGTGAGGACGGTGACATCACCTGGGGTGGTTAGGGGTGGGGATGGTGTCATTACCTGGTGTGGTTAGGGGTGGGGACGGTGACATCACCTGGTGTGGTTAGGGGGGTGGGGACGGTGACATCTCCTGGTGTGGTTAGGGGGGTGGGGGGGTGACATCACCTGGAGTGGTTAGGGGGGTGGGGACGGTGACATTACCTGGTGTGGTTAGGGGGGTGGGGGTGGTGACATCACCTGGTGTGGTTAGGGGGGTGGGGGTGGTGACATCACCTGGTGTGGTGACATCACCTGGTGTGGTTAGGGGGGTGGGGGTGGTGACATCACCTGGTGTGGTTAGGGGGGTGGGGGCGGTGACATCACCTGGTGTGGTTAGGGGGTGGGGGTGGTGACATCACCTGGTGTGTTTAGGGGGGGTGGGGGTGGTGACATCACCTGGTGTGGTTAGGGGGGTGGGGGCGGTGACATCACCTGGTGTGGTTAGGGGGGTGGGGGTGGTGACATCACCTGGTGTGGTTAGGGGGGTGGGGACGGTGACATCACCTGGTGTGGTTAGGGGGGTGGTGACATCACCTGGTGTGGTTAGGGGGGTGGGGGCGGTGACATCACCTGGTGTGGTTAGGGGGGCGGTGACATCACCTGGTGTGGTTAGGGGGGTGGGGGCGGTGACATCACCTGGTGTGGTTAGGGGGGTGGGGGTGGTGACATCACCTGGTGTGGTTAGGAGGGTGGGGGTGGTGACATTACCTGGTGTGGTTAGGGGGGTGGGGACGGTGACATCACTTGGTGTGGTTAGGAGGGTGGGGGCGGTGACATCACCTGGTGTGGTTAGGGGGGTGGGGGGGTGACATCACCTGGTGTGGTTAGGGGGGTGGGGACGGTGACATCTCCTGGTGTGGTTAGGGGGGTGGGGGGGGTGACATCACCTGGATGGTTAGGGGGTGGGGACGGTGACATTACCTGTGTGGTTAGGGGTGGGGGTGTGACATCACCTGGTGTGGTTAGGGGGGTGGGGGTGGTGACATCACCTGGTGTGGTGACATCACCTGGTGTGGTTAGGGGGGTGGGGGATGAGTGACATCACCTGGTTGTGGTTAGGCCGGTGGGCCGGTGTCAGCACCTGGTTTGTGGTTAGGGGGCGGTGGGGTCTCGGTGACATCACACTGGTGTGGTTAGGGGGGTGGGGATGGTGACATCACCTG